AATTTAAGAGCTTTTTGGGCCTTAATTTGTAGACGGGTGAATGAAGAGTCTTTAAAGCCTGCAGAAATCCTGTTAGTAGTTTTGAAAAAAGTGTCTAATGGCACTGCAGAGGTTGTTGGGGACGTTAAACGTCATTAAACCGAACAGGTAAACTCATCTACTCACTCATTGTCTTTAAAATCAAACTGTTCTAACTCAAACTGTTTATAAATAAAGACTGTAAGAGTTGTCAAAGCTTTATGTTAGTGACATTAAAGTCATGTGTGGTTCGTTTATAGACTATGTTTAGCTCTGATTTAGGCTTCAAAATTCATGTTCATTTGTGATTATCATGATGAACCAAACATGTAAGAATCATAAACTTTTGTTGGTCACAGAGCTTATTTTCTGCAACGACCCAAAAGCCAATGGAAATATCTGCTGTGTTTTTGATAAAGGATCCAGAGTGATGTTAGCTTACGAAAATACACCATCACTGACCATCTTCCTTCATCTCAAAGCACACGAGCAGCTCCATCAGTCAAAGTCTTCTCCTCTCTCAGGTTCAGTGGCAGATTGCTCCAAGTCTCGTGTTCGGCAGTCTACACTTCTGCTCCTCTAAGTGTGTTCTTTGCATGTGCACAGAGGTAATTCAAAGGTGGGCGACGTCCCAAAAGCCCAGCAGCTCATATGTGGCGTGTCAGTGGCGTTTGGAGAGACGCAGAGCTAGCGGACCCTGAAGGTGCAAACGTCCTCAGCGTTCACAGCCAGCGCGGGACACTCAAGGAGACGAATGTAGGCTGCTCCTCAGCGGTCCTGACTCCTGACATCACTGCAGAGGAGACGCATGATGAACCGAACGGGAACAAACACATACATTCTTCTGATAAAACAGCAGAAAAGCAGTTGAGTTTGTGATATCAGTGTTTCTCGCCTCAGTTTCAAACATGAGAAGCGTCATTCTGAAAACTTCATTATCATTATCCAATACCAAATCATACCAGTGTCTTAACGAGATCTTTCACCCATAAATGATCATTCTGTCAGCATTTACTCGCCCTTATGCATTATTACAGTGAAAACACAGCAGAAAAGCAGTTGAGTTTGTGATATCAGTGTTTCTCGCCTCAGTTTCAAACATGAGAAGCGTCATTCTGAAAACTTCATTATCATTATCCAATACCAAATCATACCAGTGTCTTAACGAGATCTTTCACCCATAAATGATCCTTCTGTCAGCATTTCCTCGCCCTTATGCATTATTACAGTGAAAACTGAAAATATAAAAATAAAAGCGAATTCTGAATATTAACAAAAGCTATAATGATACTAAAATAAGACTAGGATAGGTAGAAGATGTGAATAAATAAAGATGAACTCTTCATCAGTGTTTGCTCACACGTATTCATCGTGTCAACACACTTTAACACACACACACACACACACACACACACACACACTGGTGTTTAAAGTACAAGTGAAATCGTCCTGAGTGTCATGAGGCAGGATGTACTGTATGTCCTCGTCCGTGTGTCTCACCTGGCCGCGTCTGCTGATGTCCCGCAGTAAAGGGTCATTCTGTCGCCCGTCCGCCGTGGTGAGGAGACATCTGTTAGCATCACCAGCACCGGGCTGTGAGCCAATGAACCAGCGGCTGCCATGATGACCAGAACACGACCCTGGACACACACACACACGCACGCACGCACACCCCCAC